ATAAATCTGGTGTCATTTACTTTACTGTTTTTACATTTCCGCACTTTCTATTTCAGTTTTAAAAACTCTGTGGTTGAAAAATCTTTTTCTACAAAATTTAAAAAAAAAAGGGGGTCTTAAATTTTAATTTTTTTTAAACTACCAATTCACCCCCCCTCTTGGTAGCCTTGGGACACTCACTTAGGCTTAACAACCTAATTACTAGACTCAACAGGGATTGTTGGTGGAATTTTTGGAAAAGTGGTTTTAAAATGTATAATCTTATTTGGAAAATTTGATATTAAATATATAGTCTCAAAATTGAACATCTCGTTATAAACAATATATTGCCCCTCAAGGTAAAGACATCATTTACTAGTGGGTTTAGATGATGAAACTAAAAGTTATCATCTTTATTGTAGTAATTGAATTCAAATGAGAATTGCAAATGATCCTACAGGGTTGAAATCAGATTCTAATAATGTTTAACCACTACAATCCTGATGGGAGATCATTAATTTCATATTTCATATCATAATGATAAATGATGTATCTCTCCAAAAAGAGAAAATATCACTTATTATCAATTGAAGAAACATGACGATAATGATCATTATTTACTTGATTTTCCAAAAGAAGATTAGTTTTGAATTTTAAAAATTGATTTTGAAAAAGGTAGATGTGCGCTATATTGAGATAGTTGCTACTTAGTTTTTGCATGTTTGATATTCTTGCAACTTATATGTTTTTTCTTTGATTATTATTTCTCCTAACATATTTTGGATGAATTGTTTTTGCTCTTGTGTGTACTAATATTTTAGGAAAATTATACTCTAGATTGTTGAAGACTTCAAATAAGGATCAGTTTAGAGTTTATTATAATTGAAGTATGTATTTTCCATTTTATTAAGTCTGAGATAGTGTAATTATAATTGATAACTGAGCACACACATATCGGGGGAGAGTTTAAAATTTATATTTTTAAAACTGGTTATACTATATGATACTCATTTATACTGGATGATCTGGTCAGTTATTTTCCCCTATAAGCAGTTAAACGAACATAATGAAATTTTTTTAAGTATGGATCATACTATATGAACCCAGTTTGTACATTCTTTCATGAGTACGATCTTCTCGGGTTCCAGGACATGTTAAAATAATTTTTCTAAGTATGGATTATAATGTACGAACCTAGTTCATACATAATTTCATGAGTATGATCTTCTCGGGTTCCAGGTCGCATAAAAATAATTTTTCTAAGTATGGATCGTATTGTACAAACCTAGTTCGTACATGCTTTCATGAATACGATCTTCTCGGGTTCCAGGTTGCATAAAAATAATTATTCTAAGTATGGATCATACTGTACGAACCCAGTTCGAACATGCTTTTATGAGTATGATCTTCTCGGGTTCCAGGTCATCCCAACATTTTGTACATATGAATTTTAAAATTTTCTAAATATTTGTCCTAGATGAACTTTGTTTGTACTAGATGATTATCGGGTATGAATTGATTTTATACCAATTCACAATAGGTTTGTACGAAACAATATTTGAACTATTCGTATGTATAAAATTCGATCGTACTGTACGATCGTGTATACTCAAAATTGAAAAATTAAGTTTTTTGGATGGTTTTTTGTGTCTTTTGTATAAAAGGTCTACTAAAAACTGACATAAAATCTTTTTGTCTTTGTGATTTTTCAAGGGCAATTGAAGGAGAGAGTGTGAGAGAGTGTTTGAGAGAGATTTTTTGTTAGTGGAGTGTGACGGATTCACATGGTTACTCAAAGATAAGGATCTCTATATGATTTGTTTTTTTCACTCTTCCTCTTGTCTTTCTAGATTGCTCGTGAGAAGATCTTTGAAGATGATCCGGTTCTCTGCTAACACTTAGAGAGTGTAAATAACTGATGATTCCCTGCCGACACTTGGAGAGAGTGAATAGCCGAAGGTACTCTGCCTACACTTGGAGGGTGTGAAAGGATGAAGGTTCGCTGCCTCTATTTGGCAGATGTGAAATGATGATGGTTCTCTATCACACTGGGGGTTGGTGGAAGAGAGTTTTGTAAAGACTTCTCCACATTGATGTGGGGGCAAAAGAAGAGTCACTTTGGTAATAGAGCAATACCTGAAGAGTGAGTCTTCAGGGAGTGGATGTAGGTCGTGTTTAACCAAACCACTATAAATATTTAGGTCGTTTAAATTTTTTCTTCTTACTTATTGCAAGTTTTAAATCTCGTGGTTGAAAAGTTTTATTTTGAAACTTTAATTAACTTGGTTTGTGAATCAACCAATTTCAAATTTTAAAATCTAAGAGAATTTTTAAAATTACTAATTAACCTCTCCTCTTAGTTAGCCTTGGGACATAAGCTTAGGTTTAACAACATATTCAAGATTCAACAAGTGGTATCAGAGCCAGGTTTCAAAATCATAAGTTTAGACTACTTTTTAAAAAATGAGAATGACTACTTTTAGAAATTATAACACACCTGAAGGGTATTCGATCACTAGACCTCTTTATTTGATAACATTTCTTTCAATTTTTGAAAAACATGCATGTCTACATTTTTATAGTCACTGGATTATCATATGTAAATCTTAGTTTAAGAAAGGTATACAGAATAACCTAGATTAGTTGATATTAGAGTTAAAACACCCTTTGTAGATTGGACTATTGAAGAATGTGACTTAGCACAACTTAATGTAAAATATTTAAACAGTATATTTAATGCACTTAAGTTAGAAGACTACATGCGAGTTTCCACTTGAAAAAGCAGAAAGGACATATGGGATAGACTTTATATTATTTATGAAGGGACTAATGAAGTAAAACATTCTAAATTAAATATCTTATTACATGACTATGAATTATTTTGAATAAACCCAATGAATTTATTTCTAACATATACATAAGATTCACTCAGATAGTCACTTCTTTGCATGTATTAGATAAGGAACTAACGAATACTGAAATGGTTAATAAAAGTCTTTGTTGTTTGCCTACTGCTTGTGATGCAAAAATAACTGCTATTATAGAGTCTAAAGATTTAAATGTTTACTCTATTGACAATTTTCTTGGATCACTAATTTCTTATGAGCAAGGAGTGAGTCAAAGAAAGATTGATGTAGGAGAACAATTAAAGGAGAAGAATATTGCACTAAAATTGGAGGAGTTAGAGAGTGATCTTTCATAACCTGAGGATGAGGATGATATTGCCTTGATGACTAGGCAATTCAAGATCTTTCTTAAAAGGAAGCTGTGATACGCCAATAGTGGAATAGAGGTAAGTTTAATAAGTATGTTAAGGTTTCTAATAATATAATTTGATATGAAATCAGGAAACCTGGACACATTAAATTGGATTGCCCAAACCTAAAATCCACTCCTATCAAGGAGAAGGTAGAGGAGAAACCAAATGTGAAGAAGAACAATAAGAGATTCCAAATAGCTTTTTGGGCGGACTCGGCTTCGAATTCATCAGAAACACAAAAGGAGGAGAAAGTCACCAATTTGTGCTTAATGACTGATAATCTTGATCAGTTAGATCAAGAAGAGGAGAAAGTCACCAATTTGTTTGGGTTCCCAGGTCTAACATATGATAATTTTACAGGCACGCTCTAATACAAGGCCTCATAAGAGCATTTGGTACCTGGACAGTGGTTTCTAAAAGCATATGATTGGAGACATTAAGCAATTTATATCGCTGGAAGCCAAAAGTGGAGGTAGGGTTACATTGGGAGAAAACATCTCTAGGAAA